GCAGTGGAACATAAAGCATGTCTGGGATTCTCAGAGAACCCTGTTCTACTTGAGAAACCAAATCCAGAATGGTTTTATATTTTCTGGTGATTTCTTGAAGCTATGAACAGAAAAAATCTTTTGCGCCCCAAGGACATGCTATTCAGTACGCTTGCAGGAAAGGAAGGTTACAAGCATTTGCTAGATCTTTCTCTTCTGCAGACTTAGTGGCTTCAATATGAAATTGCTCAGTTTTTGTGCCCTTCTTTATCTCAGACACTGGAATGTAGCTTAAACCCCATGCTATCCTGTTACCTTTAATTAAATACAATGAAACAAAATCTTGTTAATGATAAGCAGACATGTGAGGTTTTCCCTTAAACACATGTCCAGTTTCTCACTGAAAAAGATAAGAAATCACAACTATATTTCCTTTAATTTATTAAATCTGTCAGGGTAAAAATAACATCTAAGGTAATAGCACTATAAATTTTGTTTCCTCAATAAAAAAAATTATTTTGATCCTTTTATTTGCCCAGATGATTTCTGTTAAAATTTGAGATTCTCATTCTTCAGCATTTTTCTAAATTCTGAATCTAGACAGGATTTTTAGTCATGAAACACAACAATTGGCATACAAAATAACACCTCTTTTTGTAGCTGTCTCATTTCAAGCAAGTGCAATTGTTATTTGAAAATCTTAAGGTTTTTTTTAGTTGCAGCTTAAATGAATATGTTTAATTATTTAAAGTAACCTGAAAAGCTGCACTTTTGAACCTGACCCAGAGCCTGTTGAAGTCAGTCTTTCTATTTAATTGACTGACACTGGAATGAATTAGGCCCTTTCTCTTTAATTATAACAACTACAAGCAGTGTTGTTTGGGTGATGTTCTGATCTCATGCTCCAAAAGAAGGATTTTTGGCAAGAACTCTTCCCATGTTAAAATCAAGTATTGCACAGGTTGAACAGCTCTGTGATTCTGCTGTCTTTTTGTTGGGGTCACCTTATCGTGATTGTAAGATTTGTGATTACTTTGTAGTAGAAAATAATGGAACTCCCTCTGAAATCATTTTGCCTGGTTTAAAATATAAAGTGATGTTGGAAAGATTAAAAGTGAAATCAAATGGTTGAAGGGAAATATATAGCCTGCATTCCTGAGCTATATTTTTTTAATGCTGAATGGTAACAGCAGAATTGTCCTCTATGGCAGGAAAAGAGAGTTTTTATTGATAACAGTTGCAGAACCTTAGTATGGGTGATTCACTAAATTTTACTGTGTATTAGAATAGAATATTGCTAGTTTGAAGTTTTAATTTAACAAAAGAATTTGTAAACCTTGCAAAGCACATAGGTTCTTTCTCATTGTTAAGGTTTGTTTTAATAATGATCCATCAATGTAAACTTTTTTCATTTAATACTGTGAGAAACATGCTGTACTTCTAGTTATGTTTCATCACATTTGCTAGTGATTCAAAAAATTGGGCAGAATGTCATGCAAATCTTTAACACATGGGAACTTTGTGATATTGACAACAAAGCAGTTTCAAGAGTTTTGTGTTATTTTATTACTGTAGAATGAACTGCAATGTGTAAACTGTGAAGCTTTTCTAAAAATTCAAGACAAGAAATTACTACAGCTCCCTGGAATAATTACAATTATAAAAGTTTCTCAAATATAAATTAAGAAAGCAAAATTCCATCTTAATTTAATCCTCTCTTTTCATCTGTAAAAAAAATGTAGCAAGAAACTTCACTGTTGGCTCCAGTTTGTATTTGTGCTTCAAAATCAAGACATCTACTTGGGAGCACTCATAAATCTGTCAAACCTGCACAGCAGATCAACACTCTGTGTTGTTGCCTTGGACTTTTGGCAACATCCAGCAAAGAGGGGAAATCAAGATTTGTTTGTTTTGTCTTGCTGTGTTGTTTTCCCTGCCAACAGCTTCTAATTGCTAATATGCCAGAGAAATGAAGTAATTTTATTATTCATTGTTGATTTCTGGCCTTATAAAATGTTTACAACTTTTATAGATGTTCTGTTTTTTAAGGATAAAAAACCCCACTGTGTATATATATATATATATATATGTATTTTCTGCAGACTGTTATTCTACTTAAATGGCATTAGAGCATGGCCTTTCTCTGGGGTGAATAAAAGAGTTGTTGTCCTTTAAAACAGCACTTTCATCCTTTCCTCTTCCAAATAAAAGGTGTGTTTGAATCAAGGCCTGTTTAGAAAGGCCTCAGAGCTGAAACATTTTACCTAACTGTTTTTAAACTAGCTGTTTTATAATCTGTTTTTAGTTATACTTCTGACAAAAACTGCTTTGTTGTTCTGAACCTGTATCAACAGGAGTTTCACCATTTTACTTTGGTGAGAACTATGGTTGGGTAGGAAGTGGTAAACAGAGATCCTTATCAGCTCTTATGGATACCAGTTCAAGTCATTTCATAGTTACTACAGTCTCTCAAGCTGTTAGCTTGACTTATAGGGCATAATTCTTCTATATAATATATTAAAGCTACATATACAGCCACCTCTTAGTCAGGAGGAAGCAGTACTGCACAGCATATAGTGGATTTCTGTATAGCATGACTGGAAGACAGACCTGACCTTGCGGCAAATTCATTGTGTATGTGGAAATTAAATAAGTCTCTTAAGTTTATCCTGTGCTTGAACTATCTTGAAGCCATCATGGTTTTCCCTTGTTCTTGCTGTGAAAGACTGAAGTATTTGCAAAACCTGGCAATACAGATTCTTTCCAGATGTTAGAGGAACTGCTTGAAGTTAAATGGACCTAAATAGTAAGTGATGGTTTTTTACTTATTCTTTTCATTATGTCAAAATGACAAAGAAAGAGACTTACCAGTTCCTCATAATTCGATGGTAAATTGTAAGTATATGAATAAGGAAACAGTAGCAGCTGGGAATACGAGTGAATAGTCAAGTATGCCTTGATTGTAGAAAGATGTTCACGAATAAAATCAGCCAAAGCCTTGGTCTCCTTTTCAGACTCAGGTGCAGAGCCACAGTAAGTAGAATCACAGGGGTTGTCTGAGGCCCCCATTGCTGGGAAGAAAGTTGAATTTATTAAGTAGTTAATGAGAAAATTTTGTTGTTAGTAGAGTCATGTTACACTGCTTTTGTAGACAAGCCTTGGGAATCCTACTGACACACACGCTGTATCAGAAAGGATGTTTTATTGCATAGTTAAGACCCTGGGCAACATGACAGCATTGAATAAATATGCCCTGTATGGTGTGCATAGTTGGAAGAACATGTATATTGATGTAAGGCGCTATGTTATGTAAGCGATTTGGGATATTGATTTGCTTCAGTACTTAACATATCTCCCCCATTTCTCAGGTGCTTCCAGGAAACAACCAAGTGAAGCCACTCAAAAGAGACCCCTCTCCACCTTGTGAAACCAACTAAAAGAAAACTATTCTGGTTTCTGTTCTGAACTCATAGAAGTGTGTGTGCATATATATACATGCATATGTGTGTGTAGCCGTGTGTGTAGACGTATATATGCACGTTTTTGCGTATATATATGTCCATAGAAGTAGCCATACCGATGATGCTAGTAATAACCGAAGTCTGGTTTTTGCCCAAGACTACTCAAAAAATTGAACACAAGCTACTGTACAATGCTATAGTGGTAGTGTTCACTCAAGCTTGAGCTGGACCAACCATAGGGTAGGGAAAATCCATAATTAAGTATCTTGGTTATTTGTGAAATATATGATCACTTGCAGCTGTTGTTAGGAGACACTTACTGCACCAGCCAGCATTAAAATTCCTGTTGAGATCTGTCCCAATGCAAAGGCTATGAGCATTTTTAGAGCGTGTCTTTCTCCACATGCGGTTCTGAAATAGAACAGTGAAGCACAGATCAAAACTAAGAAGGTGTTCTAACAGTTGGCTTTTGCAGCAATAATCCTCTTGAGAAAGAATAATGTACTTACGTTTGTCCAAGTGTAAATGTAACCATCAATGTTAACAACAGGCAAAACATAGAAGTCCAAGCTGTTGAGAAGTGTGGTCAGGACAGTATCTTTTCCATAGGTCTCAACAGCCTAGTTGGAGAAAAGTAGAAAAAGATCATGATGCCTTCATAGAGCTGTGTCTTCTGTGTGATTTAAAGGCCTGGGTCTGAATTGAGAATTAATGAATGTGGTGGTCAAAGTCACCCAGTTCACTCTGCCACGTGAGATGGCAGCTCTCTGGTATTATATATATATAAAGGATTTACGCTGATGCAAACCACACTGCTGTTAGAAAGCCATCTTATTCTCATAGATAAATTATATGGTGAAGCAATGTTGATTTTGAGCAGGATAAAAAATCACTGTAAATAGATTTTTGTCTATTAGTTTATTTTTTACAGACAGAGCAAAGTTTCTGTCCATATATTCTCTCTACATCCTGTCACCTTACAGGTTTGGATTTAATTTATGTGAGAAGGAAAAAATATTTTTTTATATCTGTGTTGCAGAAAATTTTCATCAGTAACCAAAATTATAGCGAATATTTTCAAAGAACATCCTTACACATTACCAGTCATAATGCTGTGCATGCACATATTCATAAGGAGACAGATTTTTGTCTGTGCTTTTCTAGACACATACATCAAATAACAACCATAACTCTTGCCATAACCTGTATATCACGATTGTTCATGGCCCAGCGTTTGTATGCTTGTTTGCAGATTTATATCGGTGGTGAGGGAGCATGCAATGATCATGGAAATTTGCTCTGTTTTTTTTACACAGACGTAAAGGACAACACAGGGAGCAATGCAATAGAGAAAGGCATCTATTGTCCTGTCACTAGCAAGTGGGAAGGTCATATGTAGAAACTAGATAAGCTGTTTTAGATCACTAGAACTTACTTTTTCCTGGTTTTGGTTTGTTTGCTTGTTTGTTTGTTTCCTGCTTGTTTTGGGGGGAAGATATGTAACAATCCACCCTGCTCATGTTTTTTTGTGGTGGGTTTTTTTTTTACTTTTATGTCTAGAAGCAATCCCAAGTGAACCGTTGATGATGCTCAGAGGACTGCACTTTTAAAGCACTTCTGCCTATCCACACTTGGATCCACTGAGCAGAGCCACTGCTGGTGTCGGGTATACCCATGAATTAAGTGACCAGACAGTGAAAATGACAGCTGTAGTGACGTGAATTGCTAAGAGAAAAATGTTAGCACATACTGTCTGCAGCCTTATTAGGGGATAATGAAATCACATTCCCATTGACTCCACTGAGATGTCACTTTCAATTTCCAGTGCTCCCTACACAAAACCGCATGGCTAGCTGATAAGACTGAGATTATACTTGCCACCAGTAAATGCCTCTGCCAGCATGGCTCACTCATGTAATTTGGCTTTCCTTTGCTTGGGTTTTAAGTCCAAGCTGCTGTTTCCAGGCTTGTTGTTTGATTTGGGTTCTTTCAGTAGGTGTTGTTTTTGGGGTTTTTTTTTTTCACTCTTCAGGCAGGAGCTCTTAAAAAATTTGAGATTCAGTCAGAGAACTGTTCTGCTGAGTTGATTGATCTCCCCCCGCTGAGGGGGAATACACCTCTTCTTTGTAGAAAAAAACAAGCATGCTGCATGTTTTTTTCTACAAAACCAATCTCTCCTTACCACCTGCTTTAAATTGGTGGTGAGGAGAAGGAAAAGATGAAATTGCTTAATTCAAGGCCTAAACTATCCCAGCCTGAAGTGAAGGTACTTTTACCTGTGCAGTTCTGTCCTAAAAACGGTTTCACCATTCCGTGCAACTTGAAGTGGAAGCTCAAAGGGATGTGTATGCATTTCCCTCTTCCTGAGTGAAGTTTAGGGAGCTTCATCTATAGTCGTCTTCCTTCTCTTTTGGGTACGTTTGCTCAGTGCACTCTGTGCTTAGCTGAGGGCAGGTTTCCACCCTCTCTGTTGCCTTACAGAATAAAGCTGGTTGCAGGGTATAATACAGCACCTGATGCTGTAGGAAGATGGCTGTTTTGATGTGCATTCAGGTACTTTCTGATGTCCCCTTGAATTTCCTTATTCTCTACTCCTTATGACTATATAGAGAACATGACTATGTTTATAGCATTGCTTGACCTGTTTGCTTGTCTCTTACACATGCTTTTAGGTAGTCTTAAGCTACTGAAAGATTACAAGTCCAACCATTAAGATCTGGTTTAAGTAGATACACCCTAACATATGATGTGCAGATAGGTATTTAGAGGTAAAAAGTCAATCTGCAGTGGCCTCAGCTCCTACTGCTCACTTCAGATTTTTTTTAAACAGGGTTGCATTTTTAAAATTGTTTTTTTCATTATTAAGCTTACTGACTTCTTTCACAAACCACTGGCAGAAAGCAGGGGTGATCCACTCTCTTGCATGGAAACCACAATCAATAAAGATGGCCTTCTTATTTGGATGACCACTTTTTCCCACCTAGAAAACAAAACAAAACAAAAACCCAAAACAACAACAACAGCAAAACCAAAGAGGTATTAAACAAAATAATTCATACGCAGAACAAGTCAGTCAGCTTCCTGACCTAAAAAGTCAAACTTTATACAAATATAGCATTCCTTGATTAAATTGAAACCTATAGGATGCTGTATCTGTAGCTGACCATGATTTGAGCTAAAACAACAGATTCTTAATAATTTAATTTTTATTAATGTAGAGATGCTTTTTCCTCAATTATTTGATTATTCTGCACTGTTGATATTGTACTGTCTCTAAGAGCTAATCTTGTTTGCTTGAATGATTATTATAAATGCTTATGCAATTTTGGGCAAATAATCTTTTTCCTTTCACCTTTAAGTCATTACACCTTATTTATTCACAAGAGTTACACCAAAAATAATAGCCATGGTTTAACCTCAGCCAACAACTAAGCACCACGCAGCCACTCACTCACTCCCTCCGAGGCAGGACAGGGTAAGAGAGAATTGGAAGAGTAGAAGTGAGAAAACTTGTGGGTTGAGAGAAGAACAGTTTAATAGTGGAAATTAAAAAAAAAACCCAACACAACGAGAGGGCCATAAGTCCCAAGAAAGACAAGTGATGCAAATGAAAACAATTGCCTATCCAGTCCCTGAGCAGCAGCCCCCCTAGCTAACCTTCCCCCTCGTTTATTGCTGAGCATGATGCCGTATGGTATGGAATATCCATTTGGTCAGTTGGTGTCAGCTGTCCTGATTGTGTTTCCTCTCAACTTATTATGCACCCTTAGCCTGCTTGCTGGCAGGATGGTGTGAGGAACAGAAAAGGCCTTGATTGTGTAAGCACTGCCCAGCAATAACTAAAAGACCTCTGAACTATCAACAGTGTTTCCAGCACAAATCCAAAACATAGCCCCATACCAGCTACTATGAAGAAAATTAATGTTACCCCAGCCAAAACCAGCAGAGAATTACATTTCATGAAGATAGAAACAAATTTGTTCCCTATTGCTAGAAAGACTGACATTTATAGATCCTTTCAGAGTAAATGTGTTTACAAACAACAGATGGAGAGAACATAAAGGTAGATGATCATTCAAACAGCTCTTAGGAGTCTGATTGGATTTATATGTCTGAGCTTCTAATTCATTATGGCCCTTTTAAAAGGTGTTACATTTTCTGCAAAATATATAATAGTAGCTTAGCATAATTGGTGGTTTAATAGACATCAGAATCTTGGGAGGTTAATAGAGAAGAAGCCTGGCATAAAGAAATCTAAGCACTTACTTTGAGAAGGTAAATCGACCGACCTTCATATGTTTCCCCAATTACACTGCGAGAGACAAGGTCTGGGTTCTGAGCCGCAATATCAGCAGTCCAAGCAGCTATCTGTTTAGTAAGGAGGTTAAATTTACTTTTGCCTCTGTTCCTCATGCCCAGACTAATTAATTCACAGACTTTAAGCCAGAGCATGTAATTTGACCTAATATTTAATACAATTTGTAGATTTCCAAGAATTAATTACAACTTGTACTAGAGCTATATGTCTGAATTAAGATTATCTAGTATGAATTTCTCTAAACCTGTCATTGGAGTATGGCTACTGGATTACAATACCCTTTGAATGCTGATCCTATATACTTCTAACCTTGTCACCCCTAAAACTCTCTTAACAAAAGAAAACTTTTTCTCATTAAGTTAAATAGATGGAATGCCTTAAATCTTCTATATGTTGTAATGTTTTCAGTGTATGGCTTTTATTTATCATCACTTTTGGATTACTGACAGAAGTTCTGGGCAGGGATTTGTAGGAACAGTCCACCAATGCCAGATACAAAAGAATTAATATCTCCTTAATTCTATATATTATTTAAGGGAAGTAACAACAGCCTTTATTATCTTAATATTGGAGCAGATTCCCTTTGTTACAGTTGCCTTCAGAAGCTCACAAAAAAATGTTGTTACATCCACACAATAAAAGCATTTCATGCCCAAAGAGCTATCTAGAAGCTTTACAGAGTCAGAGATGTTCTTATTCTTAAATAGACTTGTAAAAGGAGAATTTTTTTTGGTTGTTTTTTAGGATAGTTGTGGTGGAAGAAAATTGATTACTTCTGTATAAGTTTTATAGATACCACCTGGAAAGGAAATACATTTTCTTGTCTGAAAATGTAATGGCTGCTTAGTGGACAATGATCGTCACAGAAATTAAAGACTTGAAAGGGAAGATTGTCATACTTTTAAGTATAAGAGCTGTGATGCAGTGGATGATAAGGGGCCACTGCAAAGATGTGAAGAGTGACATGGTCAATATTACGTGACAGGAAAAATAAGCATGGCTGTGAAAAAAGCAGGGAGGAGGGGAGACTTGTGGAAGATGAAGAGCTAGAACTGGGGCAGGGAAAGAAATCAGGTGTTTTAGCAGAGGAGATGAGAAAAGGAGTGAAAGGGAAAAACAAATTAGTAGTGAAGCATGCCAGGCTGGTCATTGGATTTCTGACAATTTCTTTGCAGCACTGGGAGCAGAAATAGAAGAAATAGGTGTAGGGGGATTGGTTATGCAGATTACCCAAGTAATGAGCAATAAAGAAAAAGAGGAAGGAGAGTTTGGAAAATGAGTTATCATATTAATGGATGCAACAGAAAAGGAAAAGGGAAAAAGGCTGGAAGCATATCAGAAGCCATTTTGAGCACAGGGGTTGATAAAATGGTAAACTTCTAGACTTTACCGTTTCCCAGTTGTTGTACTTTTCATAGCTGTGTCCGGTAGTACGAGCTTTGCTGTCAAATTGGGCATCCAGTGCAGCCTGCAGGTTGTCGATCAGAACTCTGCAATAAGGCACCATGAAAAGTGTAAAGAGAAACATAAAATTTGCTAACAGGGAAGTAAGCAGCAGGTAGACATTTCAGGATCTTCCTGGAATTAAGGCCACATAGATTGTGAAGTGAAATGTGGGGTGCTTGATTTATGCATTTGAAAATAAGATACATTAGGTTCAAGTTTCAACTTATGTTGTATCTCAACCTTCCCACCAGAATGATCTGGGAGCAATAGGCTCCTCCTAAGTAGCACCTGCCTACTTACTCCCATACTAACAAACCTCCTGGGTGGCAACAGTTTGGTTTAGGAAGACCCAACCAAGCTTTCAAAGTTTAGGTGTGGTTTAATAGCTCTGTTGCAGGTAGCATTATCCATCCTCCAAGCTACTTTACGGCATGTGAGTTGGTCTGTGAAAGGAGAACACACAATGGCAAGAAAACCCCAGTGTCCTGTCTGGTTAGGTTGGAACTCTACTGTTCATTTTTCTGTGGGGCTGACACAAAGGCACAGCTCATTGTTGAGCGTACTCTTGATGACCTTTTGATTATATTTCAACCTTGGCTATCAAAAAACTGAAGTCCTCTTGTTTTTCCAGTGCTTGTCTTAACATTCTTACAAATCTTACTGATCCAGGATATGTCCTTGATCACTTGTGATTTGGATAGAAGCAAGAGCAGGAGGCCAGTTTGAGAGACACCACCAGCCTTCAGAACAAACAGTGCAGATGACTACATTGACATGATGTCATGGCACTGCAGCTGCACTTCAAAAGAATTGTAACAGCTTGGGTTGTCACAAGGACGCTCCACTCAGATTTGTCAGGGACGCCTTCCAGACATTATGGCCTTTGTTGCAATCAAAAGATTTGTGCATGGACTTGAGGGAGTTCATGAATATTACAGGAAAAACTAACAAATGTACAGTAACTCCTCCTTAGCCAAAAAGGAAATTCCACCGAAACTGGATTCCTGTGCTGTATGTGGGATGTGATATTATTAAAAATTATTTCTTCTAGAGTGTTTTTAGATTCTGTTCCCCCAGTGGCATCCAAATAAGATATGGTTAACATGAGGCCAGTAAGCTTACAGATGGATTATCCTCAGATTTAGCAGACTGTAAAAGCCATGTTTTATGAGAACTGTGTTGTGTCCAGTGAAGGAGTTTGGTCTATAGGCAACAACAGTGGAGCTGAGAGACAAGAACTCTTCATTCAGTCAAATGAAGTAATGAGAATTTGATCAAGTAACACTGACTTTCAGTGTCTGAATACATGACATTGACAAAATACCCATTACCCCTCGAAGAAGCCTGACAATCAAGCTGGGCTGAGCCAATCTG